GAAGTGAATATTTCTGACAGGAAGTGGGAGTTTCACAGACAGGAAGTTTTTCTGACAGGAAATGAGAGTTTTCCAGACAGGAAGTGAACATTTCTGACAGGAAGTGACTTTTCCTGACAGGAAATGAGTATTTCACACAGGAAGTGAGCGTTTCACAGGCAGGAACTGAGTTTTTCTGACAGGAAGTGAGCTTTGTCACAGGAAGTGGGAGTTTCACAGACAGGAAGTGAGTTTTCCTAACAGGAAGTGGCCGTATCCTAGGCAGGAAGTGAGTTTCACAGGCAGGAAGCGGTCGGGGCCTCAGGAACCCCCCCCCGCGCGCTGACCCCGCCCCCCGCCCCGCAGGCCCGCACGTGTGGAAGGCCTTCTTCTTCACGCCCGTCTTCGAGCCGCCGGGCGCCAACGGCTGCCACGCGTCGCACGTGTGCGCGTGCTCGGGGCCGGGGGTGACGCGGCACGACCCCCCGCTGCTCTACGACGTCGCGCGCGACCCCGGCGAGGCCCGGCCGCTGACGCCCGAGACGGAGCCGCGTCACGCCGAGGTCCTGGCCGTCGTGGCCGCCGCCGCCCGCGCGCACGCCGCCGGCGTGGACCCCGCGCCCGACCAGCTGTCGGCGGCCAACCTCGTGTGGAAGCCGTGGCTGCAGCTGTGCTGCGCGTCCCGGCCCCACGCGCTCGCCTGCCACTGCGCGGGCGACGCCCGGTGACGCGCGGACGGGGGAGACGCCCGCCTCCTGTCGGGAACAGTGGGACCCGGGCGCTTCCTGTTCACTGCGCAGTCACTTCCTGTCTCTGGACACGAGACACGCCCACTTCCCGTCGATCTCCGCGAGGACACGCCCACTTCCTGTTCTTAAGCCACTTCTTGCCCGCGATCGACGCAGTCGCCCGCCTCCCGTTCACGCCGCGCTGACTTCCTGCGACTCGGCCGCCGCGCCCCGTCCACGTCCCCCGAGCTGCCTCAGGACGCGCGCCTCCCGCGTGTGTGACGCTGACTTCCCGTCAGAAACGGTCACTTCCTGTTGGATAATTAACACTTCCTGTGTCTGAGACGCCCGTTTCCTGTTAGACATGTTTATTTCCTGTTGAAAACGGTTACTTCCCGTCAAAATCGCCCACTTCCTGTCAGAAACCTCCACTTCCTGTCACAGACGGCCACTTCCTGTGTGTGATGCTCATTTCCTGTCAAAAACGTAAACTTCCTGTTCAAGTTTCTCGCTTCCCGTTTCTGGGGGTCTCGACTCGTGCGAAAAGTACCCACTTCCTGTGCGTAGGAAAGCGACTTCCTGTTAATAAACCACCACTTCCTGCTTGGGAGACGCTCACTTCCTGTTACACATGTTTACTTCCTGTGAAAAATGCCCACTTCCTGTGAAAAATGCCCACTTCCT